TTTGTAAAAAAATTCAACTGTAAAGCCATCTGATCCAGGGCTTTTGCTTGTTGGCAGTTTTTTTAATCACTGATTTGATTTTATATAATTTAGGGAGCTTCCTCCCCCAGCCTTGTTGTAGATTTTCTGTTTCTTCTTGACTTAGTCTTGGAAGATTATTTCTGGGGATTTATCCATTTCTTCCAGATTGTCCAATTTTTTGGCATAAATTGTTAGTAGTATTTTCTTATAATTCTTTGAATTTCTGTGTTGTAGTTGATTGCTGTTGGTATGCTTGATGTTGTCCCAGAGGTACCTTAAACTGTCTCATTCATATTTGGTTTTACTTATTTGGGTCCTCTCTCTTCTTTTCTTGGTGACTCTGGAGAAAGGTTTATTAATTTTGTTTATCTTTTCAAAGAATCAGCTCTTGGTTTCATTGATCTTTTGCATTTTCTTTTTACTCTATTTTATTTATTTCTGTTCTGATCTTTAGTATTTCCTTCCTATTACTAACTTGGGACTTTGCTTGTTGTCCTTTAAGTGTAAGGTTCGATTGTTGATTTGAACTTTTCTTTGTTTCTTGAGGTAGGCCTGTATTGCGATAAATTTCCCTCTTAGGACTGCTTTTGCTGTGTCCCCAAAATATTGGGTTCTTGTGTTTTTATTTTCATTTGTTTCAAAGTATCTTTTTATTTCTTCCTTGATTCCATTGTTAATCCATTCATTGTTTAGTTGCATGATAGTTAGTGTCCATGTATTTGTGTTTTTTTTCTTGTAATTGATTTATAGTTTCATAGCATTGTGATTCAAGAAGATGCTTGATATGATTTCAATCTTCTTAAATTTATTGAGACCTCTATTGTGGCATAACATATGGTCTATCCTGGAAAATATTTCAGGTGCATTTGAAAAGAATGTATATTCTGCTACTTTTGAAGATCTCTACCTGGGTATGTAACTTTGACTTGGACAGGGAATCGAACCTCCCTCTTGGTTTATGGGTAAACATTCAACCACTGAGCCACACCGGCTGGGTGTGAGTCATGTTTTCTTATCTATTCAGCAACTCTATGTCTTTTGATTGGGGTATTTAATCCACTTACATGGTAGGTATGTAGTTATTGCCATTTTATTATTCATATTTATGTGTGGTGTTTTTTTTCTTCTTCTCAAAAAAGTTCCTTTAACTTTTCTTGTAATACTGCTTTGGTTGTGATGAACTCCTTCAGATTTTTCTTTCCTGGCAAGCTCTTTATCTCTTCTTTGATTCTCAATTACAGCCTTCCTGGGTAAAATAGTCTTGGTTGTAGGTCCTTGCTTTTTATCATTGTGAATATTTTGTGCCAATCTCTTCTGGCCTGCAAAGTTTCTGTTAAGAAATCAGTTGACAGTCTTATGAGAGCTCACTTGTAGATAACTAACTGCTTTTCTCTTGCCACTTTAAAAAAATGTATCTTTATTACAGATGTCCCCTTCCACCTCCACATTGACTTCCTTCACCCCCACCCCCTGCCCCATCCAAGGCTTCACCACATTATTGTCTGTGTCTATAGGTTATGCATATAAGTTCTTTGGTTAATTTCTTCCCATCCACCCATCCACCTACCCCTTCCTTCCCTCTGAGATTCATCAGTCTGTTCCATGTTTCTATGTCTCTGGATCTATTTTGTTCATTAGATTTCACATATGAGTGAGATCATGTGATACTTGTCTTTCTTTGACTGGTTTATTTTGCTTGGCATAATACTCTCCACGTCCCTCTCTTGCTGCTTTTAAATTCTCTCTTTGTCTGTAACCTTTGGCATTTTATTTATAACTAGAGGCCCGGTGCACAAAAATTTGTGCACTTGCGGGGGGGGGGGGGCCCCCAGCCCGGCCTGTGCCCTCTCGC